TTCTAATTACAAAAAAAATGAAAAATCTGAAATGGTTAATGTCTCAACTGGGAAAGAGAATGTATTAAGTATTAAAGAAGAGAAATGAAGCACGAGAAAGAGTACTCATCACCTGGTAAGAAGGGTAGACCATCCCGGGATAGAATATCGACGGTAGAAGATGATGGTCGAAAGATCCATTGTAGGCAGGATCGCAACCTTTCCCCAAACCACCCCGATTCAGTTTTGTAGTGATAGCTTAGTTCTGAGATGTGCATAACCTTGGAACTATCCAAGCTTCCTTCTCCACGAATTCTCTCTACGAGTTCATTGGGAACATTTACCAAATCCAAAGTTTGGAGACATGTTAGGTGTTCAATTCCATTAGGCAATTGCTTTAACCCCATGCATTCAGTGATAACAAGTGTCTGTAATGCCGGCATTGCCCCCTTCTCTATGACGATCGCATTCATTTTAGGCAACTCCATTATGTACAATTCAGAAAGCATTCGGAATCCAGTGTGAAAGACCAATTGATTTCCAACATATGCATTGTTTAGCCGAAGTATGCTCAAATTAGGAAGTGCTTGGATGTAAGGAAGAAAATCTTCTGTTAATCTGGACCAATGCAACCTCAAGTGTGTAAGGCTGAAAAGAGAAGGAAACCAAAGTGGAACCTTCTCTAATTTTCCAATCAGACCAAGTTCCTTGAGCAAAGGAGGTGCAGATGGCAATGCATCCAATCGTAACACCTCATCCTCATTACTTGTATGGACAAAGAAGTGTTCAATGAGTTTCATGCTTTCGAGTGACTTGCACAAGTCCTCCTCATCTGCCTCTCTCGCATTGCTTAAGCTCATTCTTGTGAGTTGGGTCAACTGTCGAAGTTGTTTGACTAACGATCCTCCTAACTTGATAGCATCACAAACTTGTAAGCTCTTTAGCTTACAAATGCCATCTGGTGCTTGTGTGCCATCAAAGAAATAATAAGACTTAAAAAGATCTTCAAAATTGCAATGGTACATCAACAGGTGCCGTAAGTTTTTTAACTTCACAATTCCAGCTGGAAGTACCCTAATTTTGGAATGCCTAATGTCTAAGGTTTCCAAACTACGAAGGTTTCCTATATCTTTTGGAAGCTCTTTTACTTTTGTTCCTTTCAAGTTTAAATACTTCAAGTTAAAAAACTTTACTATTTCACCAGGGAGCTGAGCAACTGGGACATGTTTAAGATCCAAGACCCTTAAGAGTTTGAAACCAGATGGCAATTCTTGAACTGAAGAGGAATCAGCCATACTAGGAGGAAATAAAAGAAGGTGCGAACCTTTGACATGTCTCCGTGTGTTTGTAGTTCTTCATGGTTAGTTTGCATGGACATACGACGATGACCTCTGCTATCTTTATTCATTTTTTGCTCATCATAAACGGCAAAAAATTTGTCAGCTTTGGAAATTGAAAGAGCAAGTTCGCGTATAAGGTCATGCATCTTGAACGTTTTTGCTTTTCCAGATGGTTGCCTCTTAACAACTTGTACCATGCATCGGCAAGTGAGCTCCGCTACGTAGCTTTCAGCGATCTCTTCTGGCTTAGGCCCTTCCACTTTGTCCACAAATCCCTCAGCCATCCACAGTCTGACAAGCCTATCACTGTCTATCACATAATCTTCTGGAAAAATACACAAATATAAGAAGCAATGCTTAAGTCGGTAAGGTAAATCGTTGAAGCTTAGCAAGAAGATGCTCTTCACTACTTCAAGTGTCGGGTTGTTACTTAGCTCCCAATTCAAACTACTGTAAAATTTCATCCATTCAGAAACCAATCTCCTGGTTGACATGAGAGCACCCAAAGCCACAATTCCAAGAGGTAAGCCTTTGCATTTTCCAACAAGATCTCTAGCAATGAACCCAAGCTCCTGTGGGCAACACTTCTCAGGCCAGCTAGAGAAAGTTTTCTTGGAAAAAAGATCCCAAGCATCATTCTCATTAAGAGGCTGAACATGGTAAACATGACTTCCAGCTTCAAATGGAAAAGAAGCAATGTCTTCATTTCGAGTTGTGAGCATGACTCTACTTCCGTCTACTCCATCTGGAAGTGCTACACTTATTTGCCTCCAGAGATATATATCCCAAACATCATCTAACACAATTACATACCTCTTTGACTGCAAATAGTTTACCAACAATTCTACCATTTGTATGTAGTTCATGTTGCTCAAGTCTTGAGGAACATCTCGCAGTGCTGATCTAAAAAGTTCTTTTATCAAGACTCTTAATAGATCTTCAATGTTGTAAGTTTTCGAGACCGTGAGCCATGCGTAGCAATGAAAATTGGCAGTTTGACCGGTGAAGGCGGTCGCAACCAAGCTCGTCTTACCCGAACCCCCCATACCAACAACTGAAATTACAGTCCTCTGAGGCTCTTTAGACAGTAACCATCCAACAAGCTTCTCTTTAGCATCTTTGATCCCCACAAGTTCGTCATCTTTAAAGAAAAGAGATGACACACCATATATTTTGACTCGGTTGGAATCGTAACTGTTGGGATTAGTCTTCGTGCCTTCTATTCGCTCTACACCATAGCGCCGGCTTCTTTCTGGAATGCCTTTGATTGTTTTGATGAGCTTCTGCAATTTGGTGGCAATCCAATGCCTCTCCCAAAGATATTTGGGGAAGCAAGTGGCTTGACGAAAGGCTCTTGTGTACGGACCCCAACTTCTCTGCTTGTTTGTGTGATACATGAACTCGTCCATGATGTACTGCGATGGACACGTCCCTCACATTTTCCACACATGTTTTCTCCACTTCATTTCGAGCTCCCTTTTTTTCAGCATCTGCCAAGAAGGCTTTCATGGCTAACAACTCAAGCCTGGTCTCTTCAAGTTCATCATGAACTCCTTCTAATAGTGACGCTTCGCTTATGAGAAATGCTCCAACTCTGCCAACCAAAAGGTCTAGCACAGCCGAAGCCATGTTTTCTTCTTCTCTACTGACTTTGTTTTGGAATGAATGTATGATAGAATGAATAGGTTATAACCAAGGTCTTAAATATTGAAATATCGCAGATAATATTGTTTGTTTGAAAAGAGGATATTTTTACATGTATTCATCTTATTTTCGTCAATATATCAAAATAATATTCGTCAATATATCAAAATAATATAGGTATTATTAGAATAATATCGAAATAATATCGATAAAATAAACATAATAATTCAGTGTGTGTCAGTGTGTGTGTCGGTGTGTGTGTGGTGAAGTGTGTGTGTACATTTATATTATATGCTTTAGGTGCATGGTGTGTCAGTGTGTGTGCAGTGGTGTGTGTGTGTGTGTCACTGTGTGTGTGTCGGTGTGTGTGGTGGTGTGTGTACATTTATATTAGAGGTATTCATCAATTGCCCTCCTAAATTTGTGAACATTGGTCAATTTCCCCCCTCAACTTTAATTTTGGCCAATTTTCCCCTCAACTCTTATAATTAGTCAATTTCCCCCTCAACTTTAATATGGCCAATTTCCCCCCTCAACTTTCATAATTAGTCAATTTGCCCCCTTCTGTTAAATTTTTTTAATTTTCCATCTATTTTTTTTTAAATCTTTCTAATAACTTCCAACAAAGTACTAAAATTAACATAAACTCACCTGCATAATATAGGGTAAAATGTACAAAAACATAATACAATTAGTATGTGATATGGGTTGATTATAAGAAAAAGTTATGAATCGGGTTTAAAGCATGTAGAAGAAGAAATAATAATCCTAAACTCATGGGTCAGACCCATTTCAATAAAATGGGTTATTCTTAATAAGGAGTCGAAAATTATGAATTGACTAACCATTTTTTCACTAAAGCTCGATTCTCCGCAATTTACTTGAACTTAGCTTTCACTTTTATAAAGAAAATTGTATTCACATAAAAAAATGTACACATCAATCCTTTTCATTATCAATTTTGTATAGTAAAAAATCAAATAAAATTACTTCATACAGATTTATTATGACTAATAATACTATCTATGATAAATTGTAAAATTCTAAATTTTAATCTATTTGTAATAGGATAAAGACATAGGAAAATGATTAACATACATCTTATTTAGTTTCTTACACACACTTGTTTAATTATGATCAAATTAAAAAATTAACAGTAGGGTGCAAATTGACAAATTATGAGAGTTGAGGGGGGAAATTGGCCAAATTAAAGTTGGGGGGAAATTGGCCAAATTAAAGTTGAGGGGGGAAATTGACTAATTATGAGAGTTGAGGGGAGAAATTGGCCAAAATTAAAGTTGAAGGGGGAAATTGGCCAATAGTCACAAGTTTAGGGAGAAAATTGGCCAATAGTCACAAGTTCAGAGGAAATTGACCAATAGTAAACTGAGATTTATCCTAAAAGGGAATAGCTGCATCAGCACCACCATAGAAATAATAGTAAAATATAACAAAATAAATAAAATAAAAGAAACGGGGACATATGTTTCTGGAGCCATGTGGAAGAAAGTCTTCGTGTAAACAGTAAAGACTTCAATTATCAGGCTTAAAGTCTTTATGTGCACATCAATATTGCAATCTTTATATAAAGGTTTTTCATCTGGACAATTACAAAAATAAAGTCTTTAAGTGCACATCAATATTGCAATCTTTATGTGCACATGAAGACTTTAAGCCTGGTAATTGAAGTCTTTACTATTTACATGAAGACTTTGTAAATAAGGTTAGTCTGGTTTTTGTACAATATGTGCACATCAATATTGCAATCTTTATGTGCACATGAAGACTTTAAGCCTGGTAATTGACGTCTTTACTATTTACATGAAGACTTTGTACATAAGGTTGCTTTTTGTAATTGTGTGAGCAATATTGAAGAGGCATTAGTCTAATTCAAATGATCAGTTCTTTTATTAGAATTTTAACGAAAAGCCTACAGTACTGTTCATTTTAACGAAAAGTCACATTTTTACACTAAAAAATCAAACTACTACTATTCACTTCATCATTTATTTTATCCTTATTGTTAAAACTCAAAATTTTTAAACCATTTTCATTAGTTTCATTTCTTTTATTTCAGAGCAATAATGTAGTGTTGTAATCGTCTGCTGCTCCGCACCACATACCCACTCCGTAATAGAGACGAGCCGCTGTCCGTCTCTCCTTACTCTCTCTCTCTCTCTCTCTCTCCGCTGCGGCCACCTCTAGCCGTACCTCCTGTCACGAGTTCCTCCCATCTAACTATCTATCCTCTCCAAACCAACACCGATTTAATCCCGAGGTATACACTTTTTGGTTTTTCATTTTTATTTTTATTTTTATTTGTTTGATCGGTACAGGGTTTTGTATTTATCGTATTACTAGGAGAAATAACCTCAAAGAGATGATATTTTGTATTTGATTTATGAGTATTTGTTGTTTTTGTATAAGAATCACTATTTGGATTAATTGTTGATTTTCAACCTTTTGTCTTTGTTCTTAATATTTTTGAGTTCCATATGTTAAATACCAGGTCTTTTCATTTAGCATCTTATGAATTTTATGAATTACAGCTTCTGCAGTATTTTCCAAGTAGGTGGAAACAGGCACAAGGGAAAACTTTGTCTGCATATCCATATATTTTATTTCCTTCAGTTATACTTGCATTTTACAGTGAGCTAAAGGTAAACCCTTGCTGGCTTTGATTGTGAATTTCGATTTTATATAGTTTCATAACAATACTCTGTTGTGTACTTTCTGTCAACAGATAGATCCTACCGAGTATCAGATTTTACTCACAGACCCGCCTCTTAATCCTTCGAAGAACCGTGAAAAATGGTTTGTTTTTTGTTTTAGTAATCATTATGTACCATAATAAATATTGTGAATTGTGGCATTGTTGGCTCATGATTTGGTGTTGTTTGACATTTCAGGTTGAGACCATGTTTTAGAAATACAATTTTGTTGGGGTCTTCATTCAAATTCAAGCTGTAGTAACGTTGTATGCTGAAGGTGCTTATAGAGATGATTAAAGGTTAAATGCTCATGACGTTGTTTTTACCCCTCCGACTTCGTTTGTTTCTCCTTTTTTTTCCCTTCATGTTATTTGTACAAACAAGTATGTCTTTTCTTATTGTTGCACTTTCAAATTCTTGGAAAACATTGATGGGGAGATTCTACATATTTATGTAAATAGATTCTACATATCTACACACAATACTTACACCACATGGTTATAGTATAATGCAGAATCTGGACCTGAAAAGTGATGGCATAGGTGTTCTGGCTGGATTGATGACTGTAATCAAGGTCTCAGTTCAGCTCTAATTGTGACTGGTAAATTTTGAATGACTACTGGCTACTGTTAAAATCCAAATGTATGCAATCCCACATTCCAATTTGTTGTGTGAAGACAAATATCATGCCGAAATGATTAGTCATATGGAAATGCTAAGATCGCAAAGTTTCTTTTCGTATCAAACTATTAGGAAAGCAAATCTCACAATCTGAAGCTTTTCGTTGACGTAATGTTGATCCACATTACATGTTTCATTGCTTTCAAATCTCACCTGCTGTTGTTTGCTTTCAACTTGGCAGCAAACTCATTTGTGGGTTGGTTTATTTTTAATGTTGTATGATGAGGTAGTTGTTTCTGTCTATACATGTTTCTGTTTAATCTATTCTATGTGTCTATACATGTTTGTGTGTTTAATTTATTCTATAAGTCTTGATAAAAAAAATAAAGACCGCAAACAAGCATGACTTTAAATTAGGTGCAAATGAAAAAATTTGTTTACAAGAGAAAATGGATAGGTGTATGGTTATTAATCTTTGTTTTACTTCCATTACATTATTTGATATTTTGTTGTTGCTGCTGTGAAATCAAATCCGTTCGATGCACTGCGCTACCAGTGGAAGCACGACATTCATGAATTATTTTCTTTCAATTCCTCCTTAAACATGAGAGGGCATACTAGCATAAGCTGTTTGGCACAAGATTAGTTAAAAGTTATGTAATCGACTCATTTTTCGTGTCATTTCATGATGGTTGGGTGAAGTTTATTTGGAGTGTTATGAACCTATAGTTCTGTTATTTGAACTGCAGTATATAAACTTGGTTATTTACTTCTCACGTCATTGAGGCACAAAAGTTGTTCCTGCACTGAGTTCTATATATCGAAATTGAACAAATTTAATTTTCCTTTATATCCAAATGCATTGAAGTAACTGTGAGTTGTATGACATGACTATTCAATTATGGCCTTGGCCGAGGCCCCTTGCAGTTTACTGAACATTTCATCTACGCCTTAAGCTTTCATATTCTTTGTTAGGCCAAATTAGTTGTGTTGGATTCAAAATATTTCTAAATTTCATTAGATTTGGTCTTCAAATTTGAAAGTCTTTGAGTTGCTAACGGATTTACTTTGTTTGCAAATTTCAGAAATTTGAATCGTTGGGAGGAAGAAGTTGGTTCCTTGCCATTTTGAGGTATATAATAATACGCCCTCATTTTTATTCAAAGCCTAATTAGTTATCAATGTTTTTTTATTTATCTTTGTGAAGCTTTCATGCTTGGAGTTTAAATATATAATTCAATTTTCTTCGTTTGAGCTTAGAATGTCGGAACGGCTACAAAACCCTAAGAGACTACATTGTGAATAACTTATTATAAACTGAATAACAAGCATGCTATTTATAATAAACTAGCCATAACCCTAAAAGGTAAGAAACCGAAACCCTAATGCTAATGGGCTAAGCCCAGAAAACCAAACATTCAAATAAACTAAAATCCTAATATTTTCTAATACCCCCCCCGTCAAACTCATGGGGGTATACGACATGAGTTTGCAAACAAGCAGATGTGGACTGACTCTGTTAGGCGGACTGGCAGGTATGCAAACTTGACTTGACTGTCAAACTTTACTTGATTCTTGACTTAACTTGACTGGCGAACTTGACTTGACTTGACTTGACTGGCAAACTGGTTCTTGATTCTTGATTTTGGCTGACAAACTGATTCTGGTTTAAACTGGCTAGTGTTGAGAATATGGAAAGAACCTGTCACTAAACGGACGAGATTTTCATATCTCAATTGTAACTACGAACAAACAAAAACAAAGGACTACCACTCGAGTGGTCACAGATCCAAACACTCGAGTAATGGTCACAAACCAATTCCAAAGAGGCCAACCAACAATTCATGCAGGCCTAAAACAAATTAAAAAAATAAAAAATAAAAACAGCCCGTGGATCAAATCCCAATACCTTTTTTTTTTTTGCTTTTCTTTTATGTCCTTGTTTTTTTTTTATGTTTCTAAACGGATATAAACTTGTAAGTTGTAGCAATCCTCAGAATGCATGGGAACCTTAATACAATCGTCAGATCAACAACAAAAACGGCAAAGACAAGAAGCAGTTGTAAATAGTTTGATGGGCGCGACTTTTGGTTGCAGCGGCAGGATGACTACATCATGTGATGGCGATGGGATTCTGGTGCAGCGGTGAGTGATCGGGTTTGTGCAGGCATGCAGGGCGAGTCAAACTGGTGCAGATGCAGCAGATCTTATACTGGTGCAAGAGTGGTCCAGGCAGGCCTAGATGCGGGTATGCAGCGGTGGGGCGTTCAACAACTGGTTTTAGACAGACAACAGAAATCGAGTTACAGCAACAGCAAATAGCAGCATGTGGTTCCCGTGCGGCGGCATGGTGAAACAAAGGTTCAGTTTTTTTTTTTTTTTTATTCCTTTTTTTTTTTTCAAACTATAAAACCTTAATCCAACGACTGAACAAACCACAACAAACAAGAGAACGCGACTAGACAAACAAACTAGTTACCAAGAACAAATTCGACCCCAAAGGATCAAACTCTGCTCTAATACCAAGTTGAATATCAGGGTGCGCAACGAACAAGACTAACAAAATAATAGGAATATTATTAAATAAACTAGAATGCCGGAACGGCTACAAAACCCTAAGAGACTACATTGTGAATAACTTATCATAAACTGAATAACAAGCATACTATTTATAATAAACTAACCCTAACCCTAAAAGGTAAAAAACCGAAACCCTAATGCTAATGGGCTAAACCCAGAAAACCAAACATTCAAATAAACTAAAATCCTAATATTTTCCAATACCCCCCGTCAAACTCATGGGAGTATACAACATGAGTTTGCAAACAAGCAGATGTGGACTGGCTCTGTTAGGCGGACTGGCAGGTATGCAAACTTGACTTGACTTGACTGTCAAACTTTACTTGATTCTTGACTTGACTTGACTGACGAACTTGACTTGACTGGCAAACTGGTTCTTGATTCTTGATTTTGGCTGACAAACTGATTCTGGTTCAAACCGGCTAGTGTTGAGAGTATGGAAAGAACCTGTCACTAAACGGACGAGATTTTCATATCTCAATTGTAACTACAAACAAACAAAAACAAAGGACTACCACTCGAGTGGTCACAGATCCAAACACTCGAGTAATGGTCACAAACCAATTCCAAACAGGCCAACCAACAATTCATGCGGGCCTAAAACAAACTTAAAAAATAAAATAAAAACAGCCCGTGGATCAAATCCCAATACTTTTTTTTTTTTGCTTTTCTTTTCTGTCCTTGTTTTTTTTATGTTTCTAAACGGATACAAACTTGTAAGTTGCAGCAATCCTCAGAATGCATGGGAACCCCAATACAATCGTCAGATCAACAACAAAAACGGCAAAGACAAGAAGCAGTTGTAAACAGTTTGATGGGCGCGACTTTTGGTTGCAGCGGCAGGATGACTACATCATGTGATGACGATGAGATTCTGGTGCAGCAGTGAGTGATCGGGTTTGTGCAGGCATGCAGGGCGAGTCGAACTGGTGCAGATGCAGCGGATCTTATATTGGTGCAGGAGTGGTCCAGGCAGGCCTGGATGCGGGGATGCAGCGGTGGGGCGTTCAGCAACTGGTTTTAGACGGACGACAGAAATCGAGTTACAGCAACAGCAAATAGCAGCGCATGGTTCCCGTGCGGCGGCTTGGTGAAACAAAGGTTCAGTTTCTTTTTTTTTTATTCCTTTTTTTTTTCAAACTATAAAACCCTAATCCAACGACTGAACAAACCATAACAAATAAGAGAACGCGACTAGACAAACAAACTAGTTACCAAGAGCAAATTCGACCCAAAAAGGATCAAACTCTGCTCTGATACCAGGTTGAATATCAGAGTGCGCAACGAACAAGACTAATAAAATAATAGGAATATTATTAAACAAACTAGAATGCCGGAACGGTTACAAAACCCTAAGAGCCTACATTGTGAATAACTTATTATAAACTGAATAATAAGCATGCTATTTATAATAAACTAACCCTAATCCTAAGAGGTAAGAAACCGAAACCCTAATGCTAATGGGCTAAGCCCAGAAAACCAAACATCCAAATAAACTAAAATCCTAATATTTTCCAAAGTAGCTGTTATGATTGTGAGATTGTGTATGTTGGTTATTGCTTAACTGAGTGAATAAAGTCATCAAAAAAGTAGATGCCATGTCAGTGTATGTCAATGGGGAGTGTATGAAATATATGATTACATTGATCAGGGATAATGAGTGTAACAGAGTCCTAACTGAGCAATGTATGTTAGTGACTCGATGTAGATGCTGTGCTTTGAGTTTAGTGAGTTTTTTTGGGCAAGGGTTTTCAAGTTTTTTTTTGTTGAATTTCTCTTGCTTCGTTTTATTTTTTCAGATGTACCACAGTAGTCACCTTCCGTACAGAAGCTTCACATCCTCCCTTAATAATTTGTCTTTCTGTCGAAATTATTCATGTCTTCTTGTATTACGGTTTCAAAAACGATTTCGATATTGTTCACTCATCTATTCCTTTAGTTCGTTTATGATTATGTTGAATTTTTTTAAGGTTAAATGTGTCTTATTCATGTGGTTAAGGCTGGTGTATTCAAGTCCTGCAGCAATGCACATGCATTTTTACTAGTAACAAACTACTACTGTGGCCTTTTGAAAACTTCACATAATAATAAACTATTGTCAGCATTCATTCTCATAATTTTACAACAGGTTTCTATATAATGCTAATTTTCGATTTGGTGAATCTTTTTCTTGCTGTACGAAAAGAATGTGGAATCTGAATTAACCTCGTCTCTTTAAGATTGTTTTCCTTTTGCAAAAGAGATCCGCCATTTGCTAGCTCAAATGTAACAAAAAAACTAAGGAATCTTTAGGGCTTGTTTGGTATCATATTTGAATTTTTTTATAATTTCTCAAAACATATCTTAAGAATTTTTTTTGAAAACAATTTTCTTTAAGACTCAAAAACTTGTTTGGTATACGATTTAAAATTTTTAAATCTTATAACTTAAACTGGACAAAAAGATCCATAAAAAGGGGGTTGAGAGAGAAAGAGGAGAGAGGAGGAAAGAAAGTAAGAGATAATTGGAGGAAAGAGAAAGAAGTGAGAAGATCGGAGGAGATAGAGAAGAAGAGGAGTGAGAGAAAGAACCGAGAGAATGAAGTGAGCGGATTGGAGGAGAGACGAAAAAGGTAAAAAAAAAAGAGGAGGGAGAGAGAAAGAAGAAAAGAGAGATAGATTTGGAGTGAGAGGGGAGGAGGGAGAGAAAAGAAAGGAATGAGTTTAAGTTTAAAAACTCTAAAAACTCACTTTTTGTGTTTTTAGATAATAAATTATATTTTTAAGTTAGTCTTGAGTTCAGTTTTTGAAAATAGTCATACCAAACAAGTTTTTAAGGCCTAAAACTTGAAAATTGTTTTTTAGTTTAAAAAGTTGGATTTAAGTAGAGTACAAAACATGTTCTTATTTTCTTGCTACACGACAAGATTATACTCGCGTGGCTCATGATCCATCTTAAAGGCGCAAAATTAGTTTGTTGGATGCAGCATATATGTTTTTTGTGTTGCAATTAATTGTATGTTTATTTATTCATTTATTATTCATTGATATATTTGCACTGAGGGTTAAAAGAATACAACTTGAAAATTGCTCACATACATTTGGAATTGGAATAATAACTACAGTGCACTTTTAATAACTTAAAGCTCGTTTGGATGTGCTTTTAAAATGACTGAAAGTGCTTTTGGTGAAAATGTTTTTAGAACCAACCTTTAGTAAAAATGTAAGTGAATCTTGGAAAAACACTTGGGCGTTTGTTTGCCCTCACTAAGTGGGATTGGACTGGACTAGACTAACTGTTAGTCCAATACTGTGTTTGTTCCATGCTGGGACTAACATTAATGAGACTAAAGGGGACTAGCATGGACAAAACCCTTCACTAAGAGGTCTTAGTGAGACCCCTCAATAACCATGGGACTAGCTAAGACTATCATCTCTCGTCCTCATCAACCACTCCCGATAGACTCCTCGTCATCTCCGGTCACCTAGATCATAATAAAATATTAATAATTTATATATTAAATAATATAATATTAGAATTTGTTATTATCCAGTTTTTTAGTCTAACACTGCACCAAACGCTTCACTAAATTAGTCCAGCTTAGTCTAGTCTAAGCCAATCCAGCTTAGTCCTTGAAGTTAGTCCAGTCCGAGATAGTCCGGCGCAACAAACGCCAAGCACATAACTGGTGCTTCTTGCAGAAAGCACTTCAAGTGTTTTTGGAACCTAAAACAATTTTATCTAAAAGCACTTTCAATCATTTTATAAGCACATCCAAACGAGCCTTTAGAAATTTGTTAACTCCATTTACAACATGGTGAGTGTCTTTTAGGAAGTTGTAATTCATTTATGCGTCTTTATCTTTACTTCCCTTAAATTGCGATGTAATACAAGCATTTGAGAGACCTGAATGAATTAAAATATACTTTGCTTTGTGCATTTGAAGAGAGTGATTTCTCATTCTCCAATTAAGCGTTTAGCTTGGTCTTGTGTGCGAATCTACAATTAGTAACGTCAAGTAAGCTCTGTTTCCCCTGATTGAGCGAATTCTAGGTCATCTATCCCTCGTTTCTTCGAGACTCCTGATGAGTTAATATTTTACTATATATTTTACCCTAATCTTAGTATTAATTGTGTTTTTAATATAGGACATGCGAACTTGTTCTGAGCATAAAGTATTCAAACGGTGGAATTTTTTAGTGATTCCAATTGGAGCGGGTTCGTGAGTCTGTCAAGAAGGTTGTATCAAAATTTCATAATTTTATCCTGAAGAATCTGATCGTGGTGAATTAATTTATACCCAGCGCTCAGTGTTGGTAGATTGGGCTGCAGAGCTTATTTGTGACTTTTGGGCTGGAAGATGATGGATTTTGGATTTGGGCTCTTCTTGGAACTTGAAGAGGAGGTCATAATCTTTAATTTAAGTCGTTTTGGGCCTGTTTTGGAGCCCTAAAGGTCCAGATCCGTGGCTATTTCTGTGTTAGGCTGATTTCCTAGTCAGAATAAGAATGTAATTCATAGTTATCATTTTATTATATTATTTTTTAATTTTTTAGAAAACCTTTTCTATGAGGGTTTTAATTTGGAGTAGTATAAATAAGGCTTTTTAGCCATTAGTTTTCTTCTACGCAACATTGAGGGAGGAAACACATTATTTTGGAGAACTTCAGACTTTTTACCTACAAGGTGTTTTCAATCATTTTTCTAGTTAATATATTTTCTTTAGTTTTTATTATGATAGTTCGTAACTAGTCCTTTTGTTAGGTCGAAGCCACGAGCCTTAGCATGAATATGTGATTTTATTAATTTACTTATGAATGGATGCATGTTTGCTTTGAATTATTAATCACCGAGATTAAACTATCTAATTGTCTTAGTAATTCGCGACCATTAGGGTTTTTAGACAAGTAATTTGATGCAATTTCTGTTGGATATCACCATGAAATTGAAGAGGGCTTCTTGTGATTAGTTAATGTAAGTTCACTTAAGGTGAACACACGCTCTTAAGGGTTGCATGGATCACAAAGCTTAATGAGTCTTACATCTTTATATTTGATTTGAACATCACAGACGGATTGCATGTTAGATGTACGTTTTCGCTTGAACATCACGAGGAAAATATGCATTAGGAAAACCTAACCTTCAAAGCATGTATGTAGAAATTCATAAGTAATTGGGAAAATTGCGTAGGATTGTTAATGGTGATGGCAGAAACTTAGTGTTTAAATTGTTTTCAAAACCCTTTTTCTTTTGCTTTCTTTACTTTGTCAATTATTTAATTATTTTTATTTAAATTCGTTTTTATTATTTTAAATTCCAAAATCAGCCTTTTTGAAATTTTGTTCTAAATAATTAGCTAATAATTAGTTTAAATACTGTTGAAGAAATTAGTTTCATCGATTTGAATTCACCACCAATTTACGATGAGTGCGTTGATGACGGCGAAGTCATTAATCATTTTGTGAATGAAGTTGATGAGGATGGTAGTGAGCAATTTTCAATGCATTGGAATTGGAAATTGATAGGTCTTAAAGTTAGAAAATTTGTTAACTCCATTTACAACATGGTGAGTCTTTTAGGAAGTTGTAATTCATTTATGCTTCTTTATCCTTACTTCCTTTAAATTGTGATGTAATACAAGCATTTGAGAGACTTGCATGAATTAAAATATATTTTGCTTTGTGCAATTGAAGTGAGTGATTTCCCCTTTCCTAATCAAGTGTTTAGCTTGGTTGTGTGAGCAAATCCATGATTAGCAACGTCGAGCAAACTTCATTGCCCCTGGTTCAGCGAATCCTAGGTCATCTATTCCTCATCTCTTCAAGACTCTCTTGGAGTTTTTCCTGCATCAATTATGGAGAATAAATTTGGGAGATGAAAAGAGAGTGGAACGATAAAGAGAAGAGAGAGAAAAAGGCTTTGAGGAGTTTTAGGCCACAACAATATATATATATATATATATATATATATATATATCTAGACACACACACACTAAGGGGTGAGGAAAATGCTACAAACTAATCATTCAACAGATTCAAACTTAAGACCTCTAAGTTTGCATATAAGGTCATGCATCTTGAACGTTTTTGCTTTTCCAGATGGTTGCCTCTTAACAACTTGTACCATGCATCGGCAAGTGAGCTCTGCTACGTAGCTTTCAGCGATCTCTTTTGGCTTAGGCCCCTCCACTCTATCCATAAATCCCTCTGCCATCCAGAGTCTGACAAGCCTATCACTGTCTATCATATAATCTTCTGGAAAAATGCACAAATATAAGAAGCAATGCTCAAGTCGGTAAGGTAAATCGTTGAAGCTTAGCAAGAAGATGCTATTCACTACTTCCAAGTGTCGGGTTGTTACTTAGCTCCCAATTCAAACTACTGTAAAAGTTCTTCCACTTAGAAACCAATCTTCTGGTCGACATGAGAGCACCCAAAGCCACAATTCCAAGACGTAAGCCTTTGCATTTTCCAACAAGATCTTTAGCAATGGGCTCAAGCTCGTGTGGGCAACACTTATCAGGCCAGCTAGAGAAAGTTTTCTTGGAAAAAAGATCCCAAGCATCATTCTTATTAAGAGGTTGAACATGGTAAACATGACTTCCAGCTTCAAAGGGAAAAGAAGTAATGTCTTCATTTCGAGTTGTGAGCATGACTCTACTTCCATCTGGAAGTGCTACGCTTACTTGCCTTCAGAAATATATCCCACACATCATCTAACACAATTACGTACCTCTTTGGCTGCAAGTAGTTTACCAACAATTCTACCATATTTATGTAGTTCATGTTGCTCAAATCTTGAGGAAAATCTTGCAGTGCTGATCTAAAAAGTTCTTTTATCAAGACTCTTAATAGATCTTCAATGTTGTAGGTCTTTGAGACCGTGAGCCATGCATTGCATTGAAAATTGGCTGTTTGACCGGTGAAGGTGTTCGCAACCAAGCTCGTCTTACCCAAACCCCCCATACCAACTACTGAAATTACAGTCCTCTGAGGCTCTTTAGACAACTACCATCTAACCAGCTTCTCTTTAGCATCTTTGATTCCCACAAGTTCATCATCTTTAAAGAAAAGAGACGACTCACCATATATTTTGACTCGGTTGTTAGAGTATATTAGTGGTCAAGATTATGACATGT